TAAGTTACCATCTCCACCACGGTTTGTGTCATCCACAGGGACTTCTGAGGTATTCTGTGTCTCTGAAGGCAAAGGCATGTCCGGCACAACAGAGTAGTTGGAGTTCGCTATCACTAAATCCTTACTGTTTGAAAATTGATCCTTCCAAAGGTTTGCATCATTAAATGACTTGAACCGCCCAAAAGCATTTTCTACAAACTGACGTGCCAACAACATTTTGTAGAGCAGATTCAAAACCATTTTTGCTTTGAAAATCTGAAACAATGGGGAGCCTCCACCACCTTTTTTTTTATTTTTTTTTTCAATTTCATCAAAAGTTTTGTATTTACCCTGAAACCTCACAAATGGTAAGCATAAGTGATACAAATACAAAAAAAATAAAATAAATTCCTAGATGGATCACACAAACAAGTGCAACTATTGAGCTCAAAGAAATAGAGAATTTTATCACATGACTTCAAACCACTGATAATTTTGGCAAGGGAAAATAAGTCTTGAAATGACTCAAAAGCATCAATCTACATTGCTCTTCAAGAACCAATGATAAGCTGCTGAGTCTCTGAATATGGAGAAACGGTACAGAAACGCTATCTGACTGTTTCATTTGTTCCATTCATTTATTTATTGCAGACCAGTGAACAATGTAATCTCTGACTCCAGGAATTCTTTCTAGACTTGGATTTTAAATTAAAATGACAAAACTAAAAAAAGAAGAGAAACAAAAGAAGAACCAGCTAGGTTGAGAAAAAAATCCAGCTACTAACCCAACACCAAGTACATTAGAAATTGGCTCACAGCAAAACCAACAATAATAGAAAATTGCAAGAACATACACGAGGAAGAATCAACATATTGCCTTAGGTAATACTAAAACAGTCAAGGAGGTTCATCTGAGTACTAGGTTACACAAATGAATACTGTGGAGTATTTCACTGTCAATCTAGCTGACTAAAAGTTTCTTTCTCATAAGATTACAGTTGAACTGCATTGCCAATGAATACGTGACTAGCAGCCTGCATCAGCAATAACCACCAATTGCATGAATTTAAACACTGTTAATTGTCTTGAAGTTGAGCCTGGTGAATCAGCCACGTTGAGGTGGCAGACATATAGCAGACACAAAAGGGGGAAATTTTTAAGATTCCTTTGGGGATTTTAAGCCAACCTAAAAAATTTCTTTCACTGCAAGAACTTACCTCTAACTGCAACCGCCACCCATCCACCGCCCATCCCTTCCAGATTGATCAGCACCTCGTGCAAGTTTCCTGGAAAGGCACGTGCTATTTAATCATTCTTGTAGACAGGGTATGCAGTCCATATATCCAAACTTCATCTTCTTATTACTTTCATACACATTGAATGAACTTGTGCTTGTGGAATTAAACTTAATCACTCAAGGAAAACATCCTTTAGTTAGTGCAATCATCAACCTATCAGCCAAAAAATCATTCTGGGTATTATTAAATTTGCAGCAAACCACCGATTCAAGAATAATGACAGCCACAGACAAATTTTTTCGAACAGTTCTGCTCATGCACATGTTTTATCGAAACCTCACCGTCACATAATCATTCCAGACTAATGCCTGTGTTATCCATGCGCTTATGTGGAGTTACAAGGTTTGCATCCCAAGCTGCAACCTGAAGCTCAAAAACAAAGAGTTAGTGGTGAGTTGCAACTCATAATGAAAATGATAGCTTCCAATTCTGAACCCGTCCTTCAAGTTGATGCATTACATCATGCGTTTGTACTGCACAAGAAGCTTCAATCATAATTGGCACAAACAAAATCATTCACCAAAAATGTCATCAAGACCAAACTAGTAGTGGTGATAGCAGACTAAAATAGGAATAAGATGTGATAGTTAATAGGAGATAATTAATCATAAGGCATGATTCTTAATAGGATACCCTACTGGAATAAAGAGATCCTGCCAACCAATTATTTAAAAACACCTTCCTAAACAAAGATGCTCCAGTCTCGTCAGCCCAGCATGATTATAATCGCAGGGAATATCAATGGATGGATGTGAGAAGGTAAATTAGAAGATAAATTTTAAGTAATTATTGCCTGGCGGAACCACCATTGTACAGGTACAAGTGCATCCTCTGGTAAGCGATGAAAGCCATTGGAGAACATCTGCTTCATACGCGAAAGGAGGACCCACACATTCAATACTGAATGGGCCTGACCATTTGGTCTATTTACACAAGATACCGTATAGTTTCTAAAGTAATCTCAACACTCATGGATGGAAAGTACACGAGAGGGAGGGAGAGAGAGAGAAAACTTCAAATTAATAAAAAAATTGATCTCATCTGAGACAGGCGAAAACAAGTGGAAGGACCAGAAGACAGATTAAAAAAAATGAGATCTCAATTAAAAAGCTCTAGTCCTTGAGCCGTAAGCTTGATCCCTTCAAGTGGTGGGTTTCCTCTCCTTCCAGTCCAATTGCTAGTGTTCCTTTCTTCATAGGAACTAGAGATGATGCGTTGTGTAAATTCAGAAACTTGTAAGGGAAATCCATGCTTACTTTTAGAGTGACTATTTAAAATGGCATTATAATTTTTTTTAGACAAATATGCAATTGGAATTTGCTCATTTATGTACTTCTGTGAAAAAAAAGAAGCTAGAAAGAATGATAAAAAGTATCCAGAAACTTAAATGCACCAAAAAAGAAGCTAGAAAGAATTATAAAAAGTATCCAGAAACTTAAATGCACCCCCAGCACGCTCCCAAATGAGAAACAAATTTATAAATTCAGAAAGAATAAGAATTTACCTGAAGATTTTTGGCCAGAGGCAGCTTAACGTTAATAGTGAAGTCCTTGTCCCAAGTTGGCTCCTTTTTCCTGTTATCATTAAATGATTTACATGAGTTTAGATTGTTAGCAGTTCAGAGCAAACTTTTAAAAATTTTGATTCTCCAGCTATTTTGCAACCATGTCAGTGCGTAAAATTTATAAACAACTCAAATGCTATCCTAAATTTTGATACACTGCTATATTGCATCATGTTTCCTTTCAAATCTTTCCTGTAGAGAGTTAATGACAATCACCATTCATTTTCAGTTCCATTAGAATCTCACATCCCCATGAAACGTTTTAATTTGTACTAATTATTGCCCGTTCTAGAAAAAAGGTGCAGTCAACCACCATTCCAAGCTTCAACCGAGGTGCTAGGTTCCGAGGAGAAAGAAGAAAGCATATGCTATACAGTGCAAAAAAATTCAGCATAGTGGGATTTAGAGCAGGGTAAAAATTGAACCTTCAGATTCAGTTTGTGTGCGTTTGTGATACCGAAACATCGACAGCTTACCCCCATTTGACCTTGCTTTTGACAACCTGTCCATCCAGTTCCATAACCACATAAGGATTGCTTCTTCCCTGTACATCCATGGTTTAATCAGTAAGGTGGTAGATATGAAAAGCAGAATGTGTGACCATTCAGTTCAAAGCTTGCCCATAAATCGCAGTCCTGAATGCAAAAGGGTTAAATTCGATAACGCACCCATGGATGATGGATCCAAGGCTGGAAAATGAAAACCCTTCTTCAATTTTATAAACAAGTGTCCATCATACATCTCACGTAACCAGCAAACATATCAATCAGCCTTGGATTAAATTTAGTAGAATGTGACTTTGTTACTTTACTTGATTCAATCATTCTATGCTAACATAATTTCAATAAATAAATAAAGTCAGGCTATACAAGATAGCCGGCCTGATGCATCTTCTCGCAACAAGGAGAGCAAGGAGTAAAAATTTAAGCTTTGAGTGTTACTGGAAACAAATGATCACCTACTCTGAGAGATGCACAATCTTACAACCTGCAGCATCAGCCTCCCACTTCCCTACATTTTTCTGATAAAAACAACAAACACACTCCATTTAAACATCAAATTTCTTCGGTTTCCTTATATTCAATCGAGACTTGAAAAATTGAAAATTAAAAATGGATTAAGAATTTAATACAGGGGGACTGGTATAGGCTTCGAAAGCGAAACCAGCAAGAACGACAGCGAGATTGATATCAAAAGGAGGACGTTCGTTGTCGTTCTCTTTCTCTTGTTGAACAGCAACCTTCTCACTTGTCTGTCTCCGTATTATTAGCATTACTCGCTTTACTAATACTCGAGGAGGAGCAAACTCCATGCCCGCTGCCTCGGTGAGTTAAAACCCTAAAACTACAGGAAAATGAAGACGGAAAGCGCAGGTAAAAGTTCAAATTTCGATGTTTATACGAAGTAGGAGTGAAACGGTGATAAAAGGCGTACGTTGCTTGGGTGAAGAGAAGCAGCCATTGCTAGTGAGAATAAAATACTGTTTAACAATGTATTTTTATTCTCGCACTTTTCCTTCTTTTCTTGTCTGGGTGCATGCAGTGAAGACACGTGTACGTCGTTAAAGAAGGCAAATATATTTTATACTTGTAGTTTCTTATTGACAAAATATTTTTTTTCCATTTCATTGTTTTGGGGATGTTTTACTTATTTAATAACATTTTAATTAAGATTTTCTCCTTTTCATAGTATCAAAAATAAATTATTGATGCGCACGATGTTCTAGTCTAGCAGTGGACGGGGCTTGTTCCTTTTCTTCGCACCTGAGTTCGAGCCTTACCGTGCATGTCTGTCACCTTCACGGTGCCTTACCTGCTTATTGGGCTTGCAGGATGTTCAGTGAGCCGTGGAGATTAGTCGTGGTGCGCGTAAGCTGGCTCGGACACCCCACGTAAAAAAAAAATTATTGATTTATTAAATATTTTAATTTTTAAGTGATTTTATGAAAAGTTATTTATGAAATAAATTATAATTTAGTTTGGTTAATTAATTTCTAACCTATTTAAATAATAAGAAAATGATTTATATTATATTATAGTTGATTATTTTTTTTCAATATTCATTTGTTTAAACATGAAAAGGTAATCATATGATAAAAATATTTAATCATATGATAATTTTTTTTTCAAAAAACCTATACTAAAAATATTAAAAAAAAAAAAGTATCAAACTGAGAATGGAGCCATGTCCATGCTCAGATGGGTATGTAATAAAGCCTAGGCACACCTATACTAGGATGTGACCCAAAATTTAGAATTGAAGGGCATGTGTGATTTGGGGTGTGTTAGGAAATAAAGTTGTTGATGCTTTTATGTATTTTTTTCAAAATGTATTTTTTCAATTATTATTTTAATGTTAATATTAGAAATAAAAAATATTTTAATATATTTTTAAGTAATTTTAAAAAAAAAACATTGTATCATAATACCAAACACAATATTAATTTATAAAAATATAAATATATTTTGGATGTATTTACCTCCTTGACCTCCAATACAACCATAACTTTAGAGTAAACTTTAATCTTTATATGTATAAAAATATTTATTTTCAGTTTAAAAATTCAAATTCATATATCTCTTAAACTATTTGATAAAATATTATAATTTTTATGTACATAAATTCCTTCCTTGCGGTGGGATCTTTCATTTGGTGAGATTATTAGGCAATTTTATGGTCGAATTCTATTCTAAAATTTTCTCACTCTGCTCTTTATTTTGATTCTCTCGTCTAAATTCTTTTTTTAATGAATATATATATCTATATATATATATATATATATATATATATATAT